GACATACCGCTGTGCTACTGGGGGGCACGCCGAAATGTCATTTCATTAAATTTAGTTCAGTTTTTAGAACCTTTTTTAATATCACAGTTCTTTCTGTGTGCGAGTTATTTTTAAAATGATAGCTCTGATTTTCAGCCACACACAGTTTTTCTGGTTTCTGTTCCTCTTAGCTTTCTGGTGAAGGCCCAAAGTGTGATTTTACATAATGTTCAACATTAGTTTTCCATTTTCCCTAAAAAGAAAAAAAAAAGAAAAAAAGGTGCAAAGTAGAAACGTTTTCCTACTTCTTCCCATTTGGCTCAAAGTGAAATAATTGCGCTTCCTTCTGTTTAAACACACGTTTATGTTGCTTCTTTTAATGATAGCAAACATCTGATCAATGCCAAGTAACACTCATCCTGAAAAATGTACCAACTTCGTAATAATTTATTTTACCAGGCTTCGAAATCAATGAAATAATCACTTCCGAAAAATGAACGAAAACGCGATATATCTATATATGTAACTATTTGTATAAATATTTGTTCATTATTAAAAAAAAAATCATTACCAATTGTCTGAATATTAATTACATCATCAAATACAAATATTCTATTACCTCTAAATTTAACAACAACAAAAAAACATTACTTGCCCTAAAGTTGTGCCAATCGTATCATTTTATCAATTCCTCGGGTTTTCCAGATTTGGTTTCAATCCAAAGAAGGTAGAAGTTAAGATTACTGAATTGTCAATTCCAATTCCATCAATCCCAAAGGAATTAACTTTGACTTTGTCGCTAGTTTTCTTTCAGTCAAAAAATAATTATTTAAATTCTTATCAAATCTTCTTAAGTTCCTTCTAATTTCTACTTATACTTTCCGATTTTCAATGCAGGTTTTAAACTTTCAAATAATTCTAATTAATGAATTATTCTTTTAATTTTTCAAACTGATATAGCAAAATTATTTTTTAAATATGCCTTATTAGATCCATCAACTCCTTTTCTCATAAAAAAAACAACTTTTTCAATACTCCACGATTTCTTTTTAAACTTTGTTTCGTTTGCTACCATGTCTTTAGTCCTTTTAGCTATTCCCAACAACAAGTTTGTTTGTAGTTATGCACAAAGCTACACAATGGACTATCTGTGCTCTGCCCACCACGGGTATCAAAACTCGGTTTCTAGCGTTGTAAGTCCGCAGACATTCCGCTGTGCCACTGGGGGTGCACCAACAACAGGAATCATTATTGTACTTACCGTGCTTTAGATCTCATTCCCAAGATGCCAATGTGCACATTTCAGTGTTGGCAGGATACGTGTAGGCAACCACAACGTCTCACTGATGTTAGAAAGTCACGGAATTATATATTTAAAGATTGTAATTTTCCCAATATACCAGCAATAATTCTTATTTCTTTTATCAGTCACTGGACTTACGTTGTTTGTTTGTTTTGAATTTCGCGCAAAGCTACACGAGGGCTATCTGCGCTAGCCGTCCCT